GAAACTCAGACATGTTTTGTAACCTTTGCATTGCCACGTGACTGATGAAAAACTATGATATACAGATAAAGAGGAACCATACTTTTATATTTTTATTCAAGTAAAGAGAGTTCTGACTTAGTAACAAGGACTGGTCTGTATTAGTACGAGAAAAGAGTGGACATATACTCCTACAATGAATGGAAATTGGGGGAACGAATGGGGAATGAGGTGTAAAACATTTATGTTAACCTTCTGGGTGATGGAGAATAAAAGTAAAAGGAAGGAGGAGGAAGAGGGGTTCTAATGGAGCCCTCCTATGGAATGGGCCTGGACCACGAGTATGCGAGGCCTCACCATGTACAGAGCAGCTTACCCCCCTGCTTTTGGACTAAAGAGTAAATTGTAAAGTACAACATGTATAGAACTGTCAACTGTCAATGCCAGGATAGGTTGGGTATCACTGCCAGGTGAAAAGACGTTATTATGCCGGTGTGGGGTCTTACTTAACCTCAAGTAATAAAATAAAGCTGACAGCATACAGTTCCCCTGTGCTGCCAACACACACACAATTTTGGAGCCTTTAAAAGAGAACTCAAAAATTTTATTTTTTAATTGTGTCCCCCATTTGGTAGCTCTTCCCATCACTTTCTGTCCTGGTGATAGGGATCAATAAGACAGAAAGTGAGAAGAAATCTCTTCAGTGAGAATGTATGTAGCTAAACAGAGTAGAACATTACAACCACTAACATGTTTTTATTACTGTCACAGAAAAAACAGTAATTGGGACCAGAATTAAGGGGAAACATTCTCAATGGGAACACTGACATAATCAAAATCCTTCCAAAAACCTGGGAAAGCCACCACTCACAAGCCTGCATAGTGAGCATCTGTCAGTGAACACAGGTGCCTGCTGGTTAGACCTCCCCACACAATCGTCCATAATAATGAAGTTTTGAAAAGCACTGACCAAGGGCGGACTGACAACTCATGGGGCCCCCGGGCAATAGGAAATCATGGGGCCCCTGTGTTCTTGCCCACACTCAAACCACACCCAAAAAAGCCTATGAAAGGTACCAGAAGCATCTCATGGGGCCTCCTACTGACCCCGGGCCCTCAGGCAGTGCCCAAGTGCCCGAATGGTCAGTCCGCCCCTGGCACTGACATTGTTGGAGAGTGTATTTTTTGTATAGTGATACCTCAAGGGGGGCTGCTGGTATGAACTGGTTCATGTAAAAGTGTAGAGGCTGCCTGTCCACCCAAGTAACAATCCATTCACTCTGGCTCCAATAAACAGTCTAGGAGTTGTCTTTTTGTGATTTATTGCTGGTGAAATTTGTAACAAGAGAGGGGCAAGTCTCTTTGGCATCTGGTTACCCATACCTCCCAACTGTCCTGATTTGGAGTGACTCCCTGATTTGGAGGGACTGTCCTTGATTTGGAACAAAGTTCCTCTGTCCCTCTTTCCTCCTCATTTGCCCCTCATTTTGGTCTGATCTATATAGTTTTGTATATAAAATGCACTATTTATCTATCAAAACGTGTTTTCCAGTGCTAAACCTTTCATCCAGTTTCTAAATTGTTGCATTTGTAAAACTCAAAAGCCAATGTAAAGAAATAGTAGTGGCAAACAAAAGCACTTGTGGGTTCAACTAATCTTTTTTTGTATAATTTTCCTTTAAGGCGCCATGGCAGGGGCTGTGTCCTATGCCTGCATACGTTTGCTAATAGGTGTCTCTCGTTCCCATCTCAAAAAGTTGGGAGGTATGGGTTACCCTGTACCACTGCATAGTCACTGGTATCCAGTGCGTTCTCAGGAACACTGCACAGTACAGGAGGACACTCTTCTCTAAGTTCACAGTGTAGGATACTGCTGAAGACAGGGAATGACCAGTATCTGAGACCCAGTGAGAGCAGTTTCAGTCCAAGCTACCTCTGGAACATATATCCCAGAAGCACACAGTCACCTGGAATCAGTTCACAAGTCCCAGGTCAACTGCCACCTTGCCGGCCTCCTCGAAACAAACCAGTAAGTGAGACAGTCTTCCTCTAGACCAGATCCCTTTAGGAAATTCCTACAGACAGTTTCAGATGACTTCCAGGTCCCAGCTCTACCACCACTAAGACCTCACAGAACAGCAACATAGTCCATAAGTTGTCTAACGGGCAAAAGCCCCCTAAGGCTTGGAACTCTCCTTCCTGGGGAAAGGCAATCTCTCCAGGGTTCCATACTATTTAGCAGCTTCCCAGCCACCAACTGAGCACACCTCCCCAAGGAATTGCTAGGCCCTGATCAATATTCAGGCTGGTTATTAAAATATTCCTTCCCTAAACTCAAGAAACTGCTTCTAAAAGCAGGGGGAAGCAATCAAACCCATGAAACGCTGAACGGACCAGACAAAACAATCAATGCTCCCTTGATTACAGAAGGAGCCATAACTAAATTTACCTAGTATCCTACACTATCATCATACATCATACACTAGGAGGGTGCTACATCTGCCTGTCAAGAAAATCCTAGCAGAGCTTCAAATCCATCTATACTCTCCAAAAAGGACCGTGGGGCTTAGGATAGAGAAAGGAATCTGGAGCACGTGTACATAGCATTTCATGTTAGGACCCAAGCCCAGAACACTGGAGCTAACCACTGCCTATAATAATAATAAAGCAATTACTGAATCATATAAATTGTTTTTCTGCTTTTCTCTATGAATAATTCTGCATTCTCTTTTCCACTTTCTTTCCAGCTCAAGCTATGAATGAAGCTACAATTGTGAATATGCTAAATTCCAGTAAGTCCTAACTGTTGTATATAAACTTACTAAAGATGGCCTACCTTCCATGACAACACTTAAAGGAAAACTAAATCCAAGAACAAAAGTTCTATATTTTGCAAATTACAGTCCTTGGATGTGTTGCCTGTGTTAGTTTTATTTTTTAGGCTAAGAACATTTTCAGGAAATACAGAAAGCACCTGTTGGTCCTGCCAGAAATGCAGTGCTGTGTTAGACAGGGATAGAGCATTGCCACTCTATAATAGGAAGTGTCTTCAGAGAGAGCTTCAATGCAGGACTAACAGAAGAAGTATGGGCCTAAGCTTTTTTGGCTATATTTCTGCACTACTGTGATCTGTTTTCAGATGTCACAGACCATATGGTTGGGATCCACCCAGAAGCCTGGACTGGCAGCTGGATTAGCCTCTCAGCGAGTGTCTGAGAGACTGAGTTAGCCATCCCCTCCACAGCCGAGTGCTTCAGTGAGCACTGGGGAGGCAGATGTCAGGGCAGGAGCTGTGGAATGGACAGGCAGGCCTAATGGCAGGGTCACGCACCGACTGACGACAACCACCACCCACAGACCGGAGTCCCTCAGGGCGCGGAGTCTAAGCCCCAGGCTGCCCTTCACCAGGGCCCCTGATGGTGGGGATGGACTTGACGCAGCCAGGAACCAGGTCACGGCCCCCGAGAAACCCCAGCTGCGGTAATGGCCGCCGCCAATGGTGTATAGCAGGTAGGAACCAGATAAGAACGATAGCATAGTCGGACAGGCCGGGTCGATAACAGCGGGACAGACAGTACAGAACGGTAGACAAGAATACATGGGTCACAAGCCGGGTTCAGCATCGGGAGGTCAGATAAAGGGATAAGGCTGAGAATAGTCTTAGTCAAAGCCGAGTCAGTTTCCAGGAGAGCCACGAGAGTAGAGTAAGAGCTTGCAACAACACTAACAAACAGGACACGAATGCATAGAGCAAGTGCAGACAACAGGCTTAAATGTGCTCAACCACACCCCTCTGGGGGATGGACCGCAGAGGCCTGAAAGCATAAAAGGCTCCCACCATGCTTTGCAGAAACCTAAGATGGATGCCAGCACATTGAGCAGCATAACCTCTGAAAAAGGTAGGACCTTGACAGCAGAGCACAGAGCTGGTGACTGATAGACCGAGAGCTGAGTGATCAGTGGTGTTTGATCGCTCAGTTCTCGGTCTTAGAGGTGGTGGGGGGCAGCTGCAGCTGGGATAGGTGTTGCAGCCATCTAGGCGAGTATGATTCTTTTTTTCTTACGGTTCCCATTCTTCTCTTTTCATTTCAATCACAGCTGACAAATGAAAACGATCAAAGGTGTATTTTGAAAAAACGTGACCTTATTGAAGATTATAGGAGATCTTAGTTGTTTGGTTTACATACAGTATACAAGTTATGTTGCCTCTCTTGGGCTGTCCACTTTCATACTTCAACATGAGCTGAGCTCCCAAAAGAATAGATTTAATTATGGTGAATGAGATAATATCATGATCAGTGAGGTGTTTGTGCTGCGAACTCTCAGGAAGGAGGGCAGGAGGGATATTGCTGTACTTGAGTTCGCAGCCTACCATCATGGAGGAAGAATGTGCATATTCGATCACGGCTCAGTTACACCTCATTCACACGAGCGGCTGGGGTGGGGGGCATTAAGAACAGGTGGTTGAGCTGCAGGTTTATCCCCCCCAACCACCCACCTAAAGACTACTGTACTATACAGCTGGAGGACATTGTTCACATGTGCGGCATGATGCATTGTGTTGCAGCCGCAGCAAATTTCATACGATGTGTAGATTTGATGGGCGGTGCCAACTGTCAGACTTGCCCATTTAAAGTGTTACTAAACCCACAACAGTACAATCAGTCTGTAGATGCAGTAGAGCATGCTTGTTATACTCACTATGGAACCTAAGGGGTTAATCCTCCGCATTGTGTAAAAAAAGCTGTTTGATTCTGTCTTCTCTGATCCTAACCTTCTTTTCTCCTTATAAGACATATGGTGTAGAGTCACTCTGCACATTCTCAGTTTAGTGTGTATTGCTAGAGAGGTTATTTTTTTTCTTGGGAGAGTGCTTGTGATCAGCACAGGGCCAATCAGAGCTGTCCAGACAGAGGGTCAGAGGTTCTGCATCCTCCTAGAGCAGAATGAAAACTCTTCCTGTAGTGCTTTGCTGGACACTGATAGAAATCACAAGACTGCTATATACTGCTGATGAGAAAAAGTATTAAGCAGTTTATATTTACTAAAATAATTGCAATTTAATGCTGTGTGTACTGTGGGAGACTAGATATAGTGAATGCAGGGTCCGGGGAGACCAGATATAGTGAATGCAGGGTCCGGGGAGACCAGATATACTGAATGCAGGGTCCAGGGAGACCAGATATAGTGAATGCAGGGTCCTGGGAGACCTGATTTAGTGAATCCAGGGTCCGGGGAGACCAGATATAGTGAATGCAGGGTCCTGGGAGACCTGATTTAGTGAATCCAGGGTCCGGGGAGACCAGATATAGTGAATGCAGGGTCCGGGGAGAGCAGATATAGTGAATGCAGGGTCCGGGGAGACCAGATATAGTGAATACAGGGTCCGGGGAGACCCGATATAGTGAATGCAGGGTCCGGGGTGACCAGATATAGTGAATGCAGGGTCCGGGGAGACCCGATATAGTGAATGCAGGGTCCGGGGTGACCAGATATAGTGAATGCAGGGTCCGGGGAGAGCGGATATGGCGAATGCAGGGTCCAGGGAGACCAGATATAGTGAATGCAGGGTCTGGGGAGACCAGATATAGTGAATGCAGGGTCCGGGGAGAGCGGATATAGTGAATGTGGGGTCCGGGGAGATCAGATATAGTGAATGCAGGGTCTGGGGAGACCAGATATAGTGAATGCAGGGTCTGGGGAGACCAGATATAGTGAATGCAGGGGTTGAGTAACACTTTGAGAACAGGTGGCCGAGCTGCAGGTTGATCGCCCCCCAACCTCCACCTAAAGACTACTGCACTATACAGCTGGAGGACGTTGTTCACATGCGTGGCCATGATGCATTGTGACGCAGCCACAGCAAATTTAATATGACGTGTAGATTTGATAGGTGGCTCCACCTGTCAAACTTGCCCATTCAAGTCAAAGTAGCCATGATACAACTGTGAGCCAAACACTTGCCTTTGGCAAACAAAGAACCAAACAGGGGCAGACATTCAGGAGGTGGCAGGATCACCTCCTGAATGCCTGACAGCGGCTGTTTAGCCGATCCACTGCAGATCACTTTTCAAAGGAAGAGCAAATGTGAACCTTGCCTTACAGTGAGTGGGTCATTAAAAGCTATACTCTACAAGATATGGAGCTTTTTAATTATCAAGGAGGTTATTAATGGATTATTATTATTATTAGACAGGATTTTTATAGCGCCAACAGTTTGCTCAGCACTTTACAATATAAAAACAGACATTACAGTTACAATACAATTTGGTACAACAGAAAACCGAGGGCCCTGCTCCTTAGAACTTCCAATCTAGTAGGAAGCAGGGGCAGACTGACCATTTGAAAACTCGGGCACTGCCTGAGGGCCTGGAGTCAGTAGAGGGCCCCATGAGATGCCCCTGGTACCTTTTTCATAGGCTTTTTTGAGTTTGGGCAAGGACACAGGGGCCCCATGATCCCCTATTGCCCGGGGACCCCATGAGTTGTCAGTCCGCCCCTGGTAGGAAGGGTTGAGTGATACAAAAGGTAATAGCTGTGGGGGGGATGAGCTGATGGAGGAAAGAAAAACACAGAGCATTAGTTAGAAGCAGGATAGGCTTATTTAAAGAGAAGGGTTTTCAGGGATCATCTAAAGGTGGATGGATTAGGACAGGGGTGTCCAAACTATGGCCCTCCAGTTGTTGAAGCACTACAAGTCCCATCATGCTTCTGCCTCTGGGTGTCTTGCTTGTGGATGTCAGAGCCTTGCAAGGCCTCATGGGACTTGCAGTTCCTCAAAATCTGGAGGGCCATAGTTTGGACACCCCTGGAGTATGAGATAGTCAGACTGGGGTAGAGAGTTCTATAGGATGGGAGAAGCTCGGGAGAAGTCCTGGGAGGAGATGACACGGGATCTAGAGAGCAGGAGGTCTTGGGAGGACCGAAGAGAGTGGTTTGGTATGGATTGGATGAATCCATATGTAAAGTGCAATGGGTGTGGCTTAACTAAATGGGCACGACTTTAGTGAAATGTGGGTGTGGTTAGATCTGGAAATAGGTAGCTTTAACCCCATAGGAAATACTGTGCCCTCACTTAGAGACAGACATTGCAAATCTTCAGAAATATTTCAATTCATTGATATATATATATTTTTTTTTGCATAATACAGGCGCAACATCAATACCAGTCATCTCAGCACGGGAACAGTTTAAAATCTTGGTGTATTTTATGGCTTCTGCCGGAGGAGTTTGTTTCATGATTATCATTATCAGCCTTCTTGTTTTTTGTCGACGAAGAAAGCGGGGTAAGTTGTTAATGAGAACTCCAATAAAATGGTGCAGAGAGATCATTGATGAGAGGCTGATGGGATAAAGACTCCTAAACATAATTTACTAATTTGTTAAAGCGAAGTTTCAGTCAAACTGCAAAAAATGAAAGTCAGCAGCTACAAAAACTAAAGATAATGAAGCGAGCGCTTACTAGAAAATAATAATAATAAAAAGCTGTTACCATAAAGGAAAAACCTCTAAAATCCTCAAACATATAATGTAATCAAAAAATACAGCACTAGAATAAATAATTAAAGTGGAAAAATTGGTGATAATTGCACAAAATAGTGCGCTAGCAAGTGATACAGCAGTGATGTCTTAATGAAGACAACAGATAATTATAAAGTGACAGCAGTATCATATAAATGCATTATACACCGTGTTCCAAATTATTATGCAAATGATATTTTTCTCATTTACCTAAATATTTGATGTAATTAACAGTCAGCATAATTCTCATGTTATCAGCTATTAACCACTTCCTGACCGGCCGTTGCATATAAACGGCCGGACGGTGGCAGTGCAGGGTCAGGTGGCTGTTTATAAACGGCCTCCCCGCACCCTGCTTGTGCGGGCTCCCTGGGAGCACGCAGCACCGCGATCTGGTGCCCGCTGTGTCCTCCGGACACAGTGAAACACCGATCGTCAGACGGGACCTCTGTACGAGGTCCCGATCATTTGATCACTGATTGGCCAATTAGTGATCACATGCAAAGTATTACAAGATGTCACTTGTGATATCATTGCTTACTACGTGTGAAATCTGTGAATGATCACAGAGGTCACATGGTACAAGGCTATGCACAACAGCCTTGTACCATGTGACAAGCTGTGACCAATCACAGCTCACTCAACACTTCTCAATAAGTGCAAGAATGCAGTCAGAGAGAAAGAGAAATGATTGCTTTTACATCCTATATGGGTCTAAAAGCAATCAGTGTAAAAAAAAAAAAAAAAATCTTCATCACCCTCCATGGTGACACTGTACTGCTAGGGTGACAGTATGTAAAAAAAAAAAATAAGATAAAAAAATAAAATAAAAATCTAAAAAAAAAGTTTAAAAATTATAATTTTTGGTTATAAACTAATTTGGATTTTTTTGTTTTTACTAATACAATACATTTTGGCAAAGATTTATGATGAAATATTATTTATTTGCAAAATTTTATAAAAAAAACTTTTTTTTAACATTTTTGGACATTTTCATTTACATAGCAAAAAAAATTAAAATCCCAGCGGTGAATAAATACCACCAAAATAAAGCTTTATCTGTCTCAAAAAATGGTAAAAAATTCATTTGGTTACAGTGTTGCATGACCACGCAATTGTCATTCAAAGTGTAATAGCGCTGAAAGCTGAAAATTGCCCTGGACAGGAAGGGGGTAAAAGTGTCCGGTCTGGAAGTGGTTAAGAGTACAATTCACATTTTATTGAACAAACCTCCTAATGATAACAGGATTTTTGTTAAACATAAAACACTTCCAATGACTGTTCCAAATTATTCCGCACAGGAAGTTTCAAAACACTTTATAGGTTGTAGAGAACTGAAAATTGTCATTTGTTGTGTTTGCAGAATATTTACTGAAATCAAAATCTATTTCAATCAAACTTTTAACAACGTTTTAACTTTATAAACATTTTAACAGGTCACGTTACATTGTAACATAGGACCCCTTATTGATAGCAGCGTCACAAGTCTTGCATCCATTGAACTTGTGAGTTTTTTGGACAGTTTCTGCTTGAATTTGTTTGCAAGATGTCAGAATAGCCTCCCAGAGCTGCTGTTTGGATGTAAACTGCCTCCCACCCTCATAGATCTTTTGCTTGAGGATGCTCCAAAGGTTCTCAATAGGATTGAGGTCAAGGGAGGATGGAGGCCACACCATGACTTTCTCTCCTTTTATCCCCATAACATCCATTGATGCAGAGGTATTCTTTGCAGCATGAGATGGTGCATTGTCCTGCATGAAGATGATTTTATTATGGAAAGCATAATTCTTCCTTCTGTACCAGGGAAGAAAGTGGTCAGTCATAAACTCCACATACTTTGCAGAGGTCATCTACACCTTTGGGGCCCCTAAAGGGGCTGACCAGCTCTGTTCCCATGATTCCGGCCCAAAACATGACTCCACCACCGCCTTGCTGACGTCGCAGCCTTGTTGGAACACGGTGGCCGTCCACCAACCATCCACTACTCTATCCATCTGGACCATCCAGGGTTGCACGGCACTCATCAGTGAACAGGACTGTTTGAAAATTAGTCCTCATGTATTTTTCTGCCCAATGCAGTCGTTTCTGCTTGTGAGCATTGGTTAGTGGTGGCCAAATAGAAGGTTTATGCACAGTTGCAAGACTCTGGAGGACTCTACACCTTGATGTCCGTGGGACTCCAGAGGCACCAGCAGCTTCAAATATCTGTTTGTTGCTATGTGATGGTATTTTAGCAGCTGCTCTCTTGATCCGATGCATGGATCTGGCAGAAATCTTCCTCAATGTGCCTTTATCTGCACCAACCCGTCTGTGCTCTGAATCAGCCACAAATCTCTTAATAGTGCGATGATCACGCTTAAGTTTTCGTGAAATATCTAATGTTTTCATACCTCGCCCAAGGCATTGAACTATTTCACTCTTTTCGGCAGCAGAGAGATCCTTTTTCTTCCCCATATTGCTTGAAAATGGTGCTCTGCTTAACCATTTCAATACCGTGCAATTTTACACCTTCCTGCCCAGGCCAGTTTTCAGGTTTCAGCGCTCTCACATTTTGAATGACAATTGCGCGGTCATACAACACTGTACCCAAACTAAAATTTTATCATTTTCTTCACACAACTAGAGCTTTCTTTTGGTGGTATTTAATCACCGCTGGGGTTTTTATTTTTTGCTAAATTAACAAAAAAAGACCAAAAATTTTGAAAAAAAAAACACATTTTTCTTTGTTTCTGTTATAAAAGTTTACAAATAAATAATTGTTCTTCATAAATTTAGGCCGAGATGTATTCTGCTACATGTCTTTGGTGAAAATAACCCAAATTAGGATGTATTTTTTAGTTTGTAGGAAAGTTATAGAGTTCACAAACTATGGTATAGATCTGAATATTGATCAATCCTGAAGTACTGACAGCCAATCTAATTTCTTGAGGTCCAAGAATGTCAGAACAGTACAGATATCCCCACAAATGACCACTTTTTGCAGAGTAGACAGTCCGACGTACTTCATAAGAGGCATGGCGAGTTTTTTGAAGTTGTATTTTTATGTCATAATTTTTCGGAAAATTAAAAAATTAAAAAAATTATTTTCACTATTTTTTTTTTTACATACTGTCACCAGTGCAGTACAGCGTCATCATATAACTGGCATGGCGGTTAACAGGGACACTGACTGGTGACAGTATGAAAAAATATATATATATATTTTTTTTTTAATTTTTTTTAATTTTTTTATTATATTTAATTTTTTATTACATTTTTTTTTATTTTTTTTAAGATTTTTTTTTCATATTTTTACTATGACGAAAGTAGTACAATGTTACCATAGTAACACTGTACTACTTTGGGGAAGTGATCAGTATTTTTTTTTTTTTTACACAATTTGCTTATAGCAAAGAATTACTTTGCTATAAGCAAGCATTTACCTGAATGAAATCGATTCATTCAGCTTTTTTTTTTTTTTTTTTTTTTTTTTGTGCTTAGCTGTGATTTGGTCACAGCTAATCACATGACATGTGCATGTGATTAGCTGTGACCATTCACAGCTAGGCACTAGTATACAATGGATGGCATCATGAATGAAGCCATCCATTGTATACAACTGTCATGTGACCTGCTGTGATTGGTCACAGCAGGTCACATGGTACCAGCAACGGGAGCCGGTACTCGGATCTGTCATCGGCCGTGTCCGAGGTGCACGGCCCGTGACAGATCCCGCTGCTGCGCTGCTCTGCATTACCGCAAATGGCGCATGTGCGGGAGCACGCCAAATGGCGTGCACCCGGAATGAAGAGGCACATCTGAAGCCACCAAACGGCCATTGGCTGGGCGGCTAATGGTTAATAATGTGCAACACCCTCCTTTAGTAGTTTTTCCTTAAATTGGGCTCACCGGCCAATCTAATTATCACAGGTCTCCGAGATTGTTTTCAGTGATCAAAAGAGCCCTGACACACAATGCCATCCATGAGTTACACTGAAAAACAAAATATTTCATCTTTGTGACATTTAAATAGAATTTGCATAATAATTTGGAACAGGGTGTAGTAGCTGCTTGCAGCTAAAAACAAACACTCTCCTATGTGCATACAAAAACATACAAAAATACAAATAAAATTGGTGCTGCGATACTCAAGTCCATAAATCAATGTGCAAATCTCAAACACAAACGATATTGCATGCATAAATAAAATAATGTCCCAAAATCCCAAATTAAAATAAACTGAATAAAAAATAGACAAATACAGCAATAGACAAATACAGACGTTAAAGATAATGTCAACCTCCAGGGAGATATAAAAGACCAAACTTAGGAGCTAATGCAGGCCATAGATGTGTCGAAAATCGGGCGATTTTTCGGCCGAAAAATAAATTAAAGTTGGAAAAAAATTGGCCAATTTTGCCGATCGGCCCGATTTTCCCAGCAATGATGGGAAAATCGGCAGATCGTTTTACCGATAAAAAAATCTGCGCATGAGCCGTGACCTGCAAGAAGAAGAAGAAGAAGAAGAAGGAGAAAAAGAAGTAGAAGAAAAAAGAAGAATTCCAGTTCGCTATTATATTTTATATGAAAAGTCTTGTGGTTGCAAAATGTAACTATTTGTATCCAAATAAAACATCTATATCCGAAATGGATACATTGTTGCAACCGCAATACTTTTTCATGTCAAATATAATAGCGGAGCTCTCTGCAAGGGACAGAAGTAATTATATGCCGGCCGTAGAGGGGATGAAAATCGGCCGATTTCTTTTACCGTTGGTGGTAACGTCGGCCGATCGAACGACCGATTTTTTGTTTTTTTCTTGTAAAAAAACGGCCGGTTTTCAACCCCATCTATGGCCTGCATTACTCCACCCTTTGCACCATATACCATCCATATTAAGGAGATAACATGGTGCAAATGTAAACACTTCATCCATCTATCCAACCAAAAGCCCGTACCTTGAGAGGTGGAGGAAGAGTCTTCAGGACTACGCAAAAAAAGATAATAAACACACATTTTTATGCCTGCAAAAATTGGTGTATTTATTACGTTCTCCTAAAAGATGGACCGCTGTGATCAAAAATCACGGGATTTGTGTGCAATTTCAGGTGTGATTTCTGAAGACTTTATTGCTACTTGTGAATATTTTCAACAATTTCTTGCAATTTGCAGTGCGTTTTCCATTGAATTCTATGTATGTGAAATTGCAACAAAACTGAAGAAAAAAGTAATGCAAGAACTACTGTAAAAATCGCGCTGCAGCAAATCGCACATGTTAACACACTGATATTCACATTCATTAGATGCGATTTCAGGTGCCATTTCATTTTGCAAATTGACCGGGCTCTTAGCCTTTATTGTAGTTCTGTGATTATTATTACATCCTTTAGTAAGCCAATACAAATAATTCTGCTCTCACTTCAAAACCTCACGATTCAAGCTCCTGTATAAATAGCTGAACAATATTAGAAAATGTTATTGCTACCCAAAAAATAAGTAAAAAAAAAAGATAATAATTTATACCATAACAAATACTCTAAGAAATCAAAACAAAGTGCATTACATCAATACATCAACGTATCAATAAATATATTTTAAAAAAGTTAAAATAATTAATGACAAAAATTATAAATCCATAAATAGGCATAAATCAATAATCTATCCAATTTACATCTTTGTATTTTATATACGCATTTAGCAGTTCGCCTTGGGTTCAGCTTTAACATACTACATACAAAGTAGTACTTTTTTTTTTACATTTATTTTTGTTTACAAGCCTTTATTAACCGCTTGCCTGCTGCCCTATAGCAGATGTACTGCTACAGGGCGGCACGGCTGAGCAAAATCACATATATATATATCCGCGCCACTATTGGCTGCTGGGGATGTCAGTCACTGCCGGGGCAAATCCTCTGGAGGGCAAATGGTTTGATTAACAATATGAGAGGTAACAGGTATGGATTATGGCAGTAACAATTAGGTCACACACATTCAGAATGACAATAGGTGTTTTCAAAATCCAATATCTTATTCAATAGTACTTTTCAAAATAATAAAATTCATTATTGTTATGCTCAGTAAATCCAGTCATAGATTATGATTTTTGAATGGTAAGTAATAACTGAGGTATAGTTGTCCACAGCACCTATGACAAAACTTCGAGTGGTTCACTGACCATAAGACAAGGGAGCTGTTGAACCATGTGGCACCATAGGGAGTAGTGTTGGAGAAGATCCTTGCCCACACAATGGCCAAATCTTGAACCTCTCCATTAACAGTCCGATTTGTAATGAGTGAACTTTCCCTGTGGATCCCAGATCAACCGGGTGTGTCTATCCCCTTAGAAAACTGGTAAAAAGGTCCTCTAGGCTGCTTCTTAAAGCCCATGCTCTAGTGTCCACCTTCACACTTGGTGTCGTTTTTTCACCTTTATTGACTGATAGGGGTACCAGCGAATTAAGGAGTGAGATTTCCTACCTATTGTTATGTAGTTGACCTAATTAATCTGGCATTAAACCTGTTCATACAAATTACAATACATTATGTAGCACCCTCCCAGGCAGGGGGACTGACCATTTGGAAACTCGGGCACTGCCCGAGGGCCCGGGGTCAGTAGAGGGCCCCATGAGATGCCCCTGGTACCTTTTTCATAGGCTTTTTTGAGTTTGGGCAAGGACACAGGGGCCCCATGATCCCCTATTACCCGGGGCCCCATGAGTTGTCAGTCTGCCCCTGCTCCCAGGTAGGCTGCTAAGTTTGGTTAGGCAAATTTAGTTCCATGGCTCTCCTGTAGTCAGCAGAGCAGCACATGATTACTTTGGGGCTGCTCTGGGCATTGCAAGCTGCGAGTTTGATTGTTTCCTCCTGCATGTAGTGTGTTTGCACCTATGACAAAACTTTGAGTGGTTCACTGACCATAGAACATGGGAGCTCTTGATCCATGTGGCACCATAGGGAGTAGTGTTGGAGAAGATCCTTGCCTTCACAATGGCCAAATCTTGAACCTCTCCATTAACAGTCTGATTTGTAATGAGTGAACTTTCCCTGCAGATCCCAGATCAACTGGGTGTGTCTATCCCCTTAGAAAACTGGTAAAAAAAAGTCCTCTAGGCTGCTTCTTAAAGCCCATGCTCTAGTGTCCACCTTCATACTTGGTGGCGTTTTTCACCTTTATTAACTGATATTGGTAGGGGCAAATTAAGGAGTGAGATTTCCTACCCATTGTTATGTAGTTGACCTAATTAATCTGGCATTACAAATTACAATACATTATGTAGCACCCTCCCAGATAGACTGCTAAGTTTGGTTAGCAAATTTAGTTCCATGGCTCTCCTGTAGTCAGCAGAGCAGCACATGATTACTTTGGGGCTGCTCTGGGCATTGCAAGCTGTGAGTTTGATTGTTTCCTCCTGCATGTAGTGTGTTGCACCTATGACAAAACTTTGAGTGGTTCACTAACCATAAGACAAGGGAGCTGTTGATCTATCTGGCACCATAGGGAGTAGTGTTGGAGAAGATCCTTGCCTGCACAATGGCCAGATCTTGAACCTCTCCATAAACAGTTCAATTTGTAATGAGTGAACTTTCCCTGCAGATCCCAGATCAACCGGGTGTATCTATCCCCTCAAAAAACTGGTAAAAGAGTCCACTAGGCAGCTACCTAAAGCCCATGCTCTAGTGTCCACCTTCACACTTTCATTTTTATTCACTGAATAAATGATATTTGGTGGCGTTTTTTACCTTTATTAACTGATAGGGGTACCGGCGAATTAAGGAGTTAGATTTCCTACCCATTGTCATGTAGTTGACCTAATTAACCTGGAATTAAACCTGGTCATACAAATTACAATACATTATATAGCACCCTCCCAGGTAGGCTGATAAGTTTGGTTAGGCAAATTTAGTTCCATGGCTCGTGATTAATTTGGGGCTACTCTGGGCATTGCAAGCTGCGAGTTTGATTGTTTCCTCCTGAATGTAGTGTGTTGGAGAGTCAAATGAGCAGCTTGAATATTAGGCAGCTCCAGCCAGTCACTGGGAAGGTCTGCCCAGATGGTGGTTGGGGAGTGCATAAATAGTTTGGAGCCCCAGAGGGCAAGGTTCTTCCCCAGGAGGAGAGGTTTCCAGACAGAAGGGCTGCTACCCTTCTTGGTAGCCTAACTCAGCCTTTCTCAACCAACCCTGGGGTGCCTTGAGATTTTTTCAGGGGTGCCTTGGCAAAATGTCTACAAATTGCCCAAAACTTGTATACAAGTCAACAGGTGGAACAAACCCACCTTTTAGTTACACAAAGCCACAGGTTTTCATTGTGCACCATTACGACCTTCTAGCCACTGGCGTCCTGACAACCAATGACATCTTCAGTTGATAAAGAAGATGTCAGCTGCCTGCACAGAATCCTAGTTTGACCCTCTCCTGCCCCTCTCCATCAGTGCTGGGGTCACATTAGCTCAGTGATGGTAAAAAACTGAGGGAGAGGAGACACACTGGAATACTACTCCATACCAGTGTGCAAAATTGTATTTGCTCTGGAAGAATAAATCACCTCTAATGTTGGGTGTCCTATGTGTGTGAATGTTGCTGCGTTATATAAAACTATCAGTTTTTCACATTTTAGAATTGAGTGCCTCAAGACTATTCATAATTTTAAAGGGTGCCTCGGTACTGTCCATAATTTGAAGGGTGCCTTGACTGAAAAAAGGGTTTAGAAACACTAATCTAACTGAAGATCCTGCCTGTCTCATTGCATTGATATCCCAGCTATGCATAGCTGAGGGCCTATTCTGCTGCTAATTCTTTGAGAACTGAAGGGTTTCACTGAGGATCTGGTCTGGAGGCTCCACTGAGGAGACTGTCTAGAGTCTGGAGGGAGAAATCCAAGTCCAAGGGACACCGTGAGTACAGACCTGAGAGAGGGATTCTAGTGGCTGTCCCAGTGCTGTCCATCAAATGTCCCACTGCTCAAAGGACTGTGTAAAGAAGTAGATGCAAAGGAAAGAGTGTCCTCACGTTCCTGTTCAGTGTTCTGGAGTATCCCACATCTTCCCTAAGCTACACCTAAATTAATCTGCAATACATTTTAAAAAGGCAATCCCTGTTTTCTGAGCCAGAGGAGCCTGGGACACAATTCAGCAGCCTTTGCCATGGCCATGGCTTTGTCCAACATAATAGCAAATTATGGAAACTTACCTGCCAAGCGATCCCCTCCAGTGATGTGGTGGCAGCTCTCTGAGTTGTCACGGGCGCTATTGTCTTCTCCCAGTTTTCCTTCAGGGTTCAGGCTCTTCATCCACCTGATTGCCCAGGTTGTGATGATGTCAGTCCTGCACATGGACATGGGAGTCACGTCATCATGGCAGAGAGCGGTGCCATAAATGTACACTGAATGGTTCAATGTACATACTGTAAATGCCAACAGGCATGTAGAAGCAGTTATGGCAGAAGAAAACAATAGAGCCTCTTTTGTCAAAAATTCCATTTTTTTCAAAAATTTTTTTAGGTTTAAAAAATACGTAAAGCCAACATTTCCTATTCCTGATATGTGCCTGCTGTACCATGTACTTGTATGAAAAAGTATCCTAATCTCTTTGTATTGCTTCCTTTGTTTGAAATCCCTGGTGTTCCTGCCAGTCCCTGTGCTTTCTTATTAAAATTTGACCACACTAGGCATGCGAGCACAGCGTGGTCAGCTCTAGGATTCAGCCTGCTCTCCTTCAATGATCAGACTTGTCCTGATCCCCCGCACAGCCATTCACTGGGAAGATTAGTATCCTGCTGTTTCTCCTCCCCTAGCTATTATGCAGCTGAGAACAGAGAGTGATCACTTATAAAAAGCATATTTAATTTATAATTTTTTTATATCTATACACAAATGTTTTGCCTTTCATTTCTATTTTAAACTGAGTGGATTGTTTTACAAGATGAGGATTTACAATCACTTTAATTTTGCTTTAGGTAGCACTGTAGCTTGTTGACTATCTACCTGCGTATGTTCAGTTACCTCTTATACTTATTATATTATGTATTTTTTTCATTATATTATTATTTTGGTTTTAACAATTTCTCCCTCTGCTTCCAGGAAAACATAGATGTTCTAAAGACCCAGACAGAGCAGAAGAGGTACGGCATATATTGCCCCATTGGTATTATGGCCAAGCTGTAATGATATCCTATCTAAATTTTGATAAAACTGAATACAAACTGACAGTCCTCTAGTAATAAAAGGATACACTCCCGGTGCACAGGACCTATAGGTTCACACTTGTGCATGTCAGGAACATGTGCAAAATCACGCAATTTCCCGCCATTCACAAAAATGCAGTGCACTTTAGCAGATGCGCAGCAGTGCCCTTAATTCCTAATGGCACCCCACCATGCGTTTCGGTGCAGCATAATTTTGCAAAAGAGTCAGGGACTCTTGCATTTAGGGCAGCCTATTAAAATAAATGTGCAAGAGGTAGCGGGATCATTGCCTGCATCCTCCACCAAAATAAATAAATGAATAAATGTGCTGCCCTAAACATGATTTCCCGAAACGTGCGGATTGTTCCCGATTGGTGTGCTATTACTTCGTGGATCGTTTCGCCGAATGGTTCATGAAATATCGGCATTTTTGTGGTGAAATTGGTCCCATAGGAATGAATGGCGGAATGTTCAAAACTAGAGTGGGAGCTGACAAAAGCTAGAGTGTGAGCTGAAAAATCAGGACATGATTTCTAAACTGCCATCAATCCTTCATTTTCAAGCCCACCTACACAAATCTTATATCAAAACGTTCAGCTATCCATGCTGCCACTAAAAATGTCCACGGCTAAGCCATAGTCCTGATAGTTTTCACAATATGACCATTTCTTTGCAACTCACGTTCATTGAAACTCCACTCTAGCCACCTAAAATTTGAAGGGCAATTTCTAAACTACGACTGTGCCTTCATTTTTAATATTTCAGAGACATACCATGCATCCAAATGTAGGTCTGGGTCTTGTGATCACAATACAAAGCTCTTCGGTGTAGGATTTATAATTTTTAAACTACAACCATTTGAAGATGTCAACCGCCAGTGAAGTGAGCAAGTTGGAGCAGTTTGTTTTTAACTGCTCTTCTCTGCCCTTGCTGTAGAGTGAGTTGCCATAGGAACCCAGGTGTGTGAGCAGGCAGTAGAGTGACAAAAGCTAGAGTGTGAGCTGAAAAATCAGGACATGATTTCTAAACTGCCACCACACCCTCATTTTCAAGCCCTAGACTACTGGTGGAGGCAAGAACACTTCACACAATTTCCCCAGAAATTGTAGCTTTTCTAGTCATTCATATATTTTCTATATAGTTAGAAACAATATCCATAGCTTTGCAGCTTTCTGTAGACCAGGGATCTTACCACATCACTAAGGCCTTATGCATACTGGGCATTTAGTCCCGGTGCATGAGACGCTGGCTCAGGGGCGGACTGACAACTCATGGGGCCCCTGGGTAATAGGGGATCATGGGGCCCCTGTGTCCTTGTCCAAACTCAAAAAAGCATATGAAAAAGGTACCAGGGGCATCTCATGGGGCCCCCTACTGACTCCGGCCCTCAGTGCCCGAGTTTCCAAATGGTCAGTCCGCCCCTGCGCTGGCTGTAAGGCGTGGATGGGGAGCACAGGTACAACGTCCAGGCCCGGTGTCAGCAGCTTATCAAACTCTATGAGAGGCTGACAATTGCTGTGGCTGGGTGGTGCACCTAACCCTACTTTCATTCAGGGCAGTATGCACCCAGGGACAAATACCCAGAACACAAACAGTCTGTATGTAATGAAAGCAGAAAAGTTTTATATAATAAATTA